GGCCGGGGCTGCGTGATCTGCTGCTGCCTGGAACTGGCCAGGCTCTGGGGAAGAGGCTCCTGGGGTGATTTCAGGAGTTGGCTCCCCAGCACGTTTCTGAGATACCGTGTAGCTGAGAGTGCTGGCACCGACTGGGAGAGCAGCCAGGGGCTGTGCGAACAGACTCAGTAGCTCTAGCAAAGATTTTTAGTGGCAACAGTTGATGTGTGGGAGAAGAAAATGTATATGTGCTTAATAAATATTGGCACGCAGTGAGAGCTTACCAGCTAATTCAGTGCCTCAGCTTCTGGAGAGCTGGGTTGTCTCTGCCACGTTGAAAAGAATCCCTTTAGATCAGGGGATAAATAAAAAAATAATATGAAAAATACTTTTTTTTTTTCTGCATAGTGCTAATTTAATGCTGACCTGGCTGGTTCCTGCCTTCCCTCCCGAGCACACCCAAGAGGCAGCAGAAATCCCTGCCTCTCCTCACGACCCAGGCCCCGCGGACAGTGTGTGCAGACATTGTCCCGCACAGAGGAGGGCTGAGAGTAGAGCAAACCCAGCAGGCTGGGTCTCTCTGCTACCTGCTGGTTTGAGCTGTACGAATCCTGTCTGTCAGGAAGGAGAGGCATGTGCATAACCTGTGTATCGGAGACTGCTGGGGTTGTACGAGTAGATGAGGTGAACTTCAGAGGTCCAGTCCATCACCTGGCCCTGGCTGGGACCAGCTGCCCGTCTGTTTCTGCAGCGATGGAAACAGCCTCTTCAGGTTGTCTTGTTTGGGTACCCTGGCACCCTGCTGTTAGAGTGACTAAACTGGATACTCTTACCTCAGTTTAACTGCCTCACCACTTCTCCTGCCCGCCATAGGCAGCTCTTCCGTTATTCAGCAGTGGCAGTTACCACATACGAAGACTTTAAATACATTTCCCTTTCTTTAACCTTCCCTTGGCAATCTCTTTCCGTGCCCTAGGTCACTCTTGTCACTGTCCCACTGACTCACATCTGGTTTTCTTTAATGCTGCAGCCAATGCTGCACAGAAGCCTCTAGCCTTGGCAACAGATCGGCTCTTACTGTGATATTTATATATCCCAGTGTATTTGGCTACTTGTTTGCAGCAGCACAGTTGGCCCTCTGATTTCTGATGCATGACTCTTCTGCAAGACGAATGCAGCTAAAGATTAAATTTCTGTGCTGGCAGGACACGATATTCTTCACCTCCCGCCTTCTTTTTGTCTCCTCTCCCCAGCCCACATGTGCGTACCTGCAGCACCATCCACCTGCACATCAAGGCAGTGCTGAAGCAACAGGTGTTCTGCAGGATCAAAGCAATATTTCCCTTTAAGTTCCTCCTGCTTTCCAGGGAGCAGCTTTTGATCTTTTACCTGTTGCTTTGTTCTTTCTGCGCTAGGTAAAAGCTAATTAAATGTTGCCTTTGTTGGCAGAGAAGTCCTGCACCTCTGCCTGCATTCCTGAGAGCCCCTGGAGAGCTGCAGCAGGACGCTCATGTTTCCTACATGCATCTCCATCTGCTGTCCTTAGGTGGAAAAGCTCATCTGTGTGTTCTGAGGAAGCATTCCCTGGTGAAAGCCGCAGGTACCTGATACCACCTTTCTCCTTTGCACGTGCAGGTTTTGCACTTTTAGAGTTGTGATGAATGAGCCAGCAGGGCTACAGGTCTGGATATGCAGGTGGGTTTCGGTCCTGCCAGCAGGTGGACACAGCCGAGCAGAGCGTGCTGCCCACCAAGTGTCCTGGCAGCAGAGGACCCTGTGCAGATGTGCCGGAGGCTGTTGCTCCACATCGCTGCTTTGCTCCCACAGCACCGAGTTGAAATGCTGTCCTAACCTGGTTACGGGGAGGAGGAATTGCAGCAGAGTTCGCTCTCTGTATTGTTGCAGGGCGCGATGAAAGGAAACGTGACTTGCTCTTTAAATGTGGTTGAGGCAAGTGACTTTCTCCAAGGTGTGACCCGGAGCCTGAAACAGTGCTGTGGTTTTTGACGAGCCAGACAAGAGCAAGTGTATGGCTCCATTGGTGTTTGGGTTTTGGGGCTGTGGCATGAAGATACGTGTTGTGTTTGGTGTTAGAAGAGACACGGTGAAGAAGGACTTGCAAGGTAGTTGTCTTATCCTAAGCACTAGCTGGGCACAGCACGTAGTGAGGTTGAGGCTTCTCTGTCAAGTTCCAGCAAAGACTGAAATGCAGAAACTGCTTATGCTCTGACTCAAGCTGACTAACCTGGTGATTCCCAGTTAAACCAACAGTTTGGCCTTTAACGAAGGCTCTGTCAGCTCCTTGGCAGTCTCATTTGCAACCTTCTGTAGGTGCAAATCTGTCAGAACCAGGACAGCTACCTTCCTGCCCTGCGGGTTTCACTCTGCTCTTTGAGAAACGCTGGTTTCTGGTTGCCTTTTCTGCCTCCTCACTGCCTCATTTGTCTGGAGATACCACTAAAACCGCGTTTGGAGAAAATGGGGCTTGTCAGTGACGATACTTGCGTTAGGCCCCTGACGGTACAAGGCAGGGCCTGTCCGCTTTTCTTTTCATTTCTGGCTGCCCTGCTGCTTGCTCTGTGGGCTGTGGCGGGGCACTCGTCCCAAGGAACACGCCGAGCTGATCTCTCCCCGGCCTGGCACCATGGCCACGTGTAGCATGTGCCAGGTCGGACTGGCCTGTTCACGAGCAAGTAAAGCACATAAAAACAAAGGAACAAAAGTCGATGTTTCCCCTCCTCGTGTGCTTTCAGTAGGACGCAAACTGCTGTGCCTCTGGTCTGCTTCCCAGCAAGGGACGGTGGCAGCAGGTAGAGCTTGCTCTGCAGTGAGGTGTGTTGGGCTGCCGGGTTGCTTTGTGCAAGACCCAGCTGCTGTTCCAACGCATCGAGTCACCACTTGGGTGACCCCTCTGGATGCAGTCAAGCTCCTCATCAACAGCCCCGACGAGGAACACATCTCCTCTGAGCACGAAGCTTACTTGGTGATTACTTGGGCGCTGTGCTTGCGCTTCCTCTTGGTAGATGCCCTGAGCTGGCACGCTGGGCTCTGCTGCCGGAGGCTGCCCGCTCTGTTGAATGTGGGTCTCTTGCCACTTATTTCTGAAAAAGCTCCGTGTAACCACCACTGCTCAAAAAACAAAGGAAAGCCCCAACCCCAAAACCTCAGACGCACAGCAGGATTATGCCAAAAAATTGGTAAGCACAAGCTGAACTTGTTTTGATTAATGTTTTTCTGGCCATCAGTGGTTATTGCGGATGACTTGTTTAATGTCGTGGTCTCAGCAGTTTTTCTGTGCGGAAGGAATCCTCCAGAGTCTACTCTGACTCTCTTTGACATCGCCGGGACAGTGATACATCAGGCAGCTCTGCCTCGCTGAGCTATTCCCTTAATGGGCAATTTTCAGTGACAGGCATTGCTGTTCTGTTTCGTCTCCACAGTATCTATTAAAATACATTTTTTTTGCTGCCTTCGTATTTCTTCGTGGCAGAGAAAAATATGCCGTGTCTGTATTTCAACATCTTTAAAACACAGAGATGATGTTACAGACCCAGAGCGTTTGGAGGCTCTTGCCTGAGTTGTAGGATTGAAGCAGCCGTTGGTGGGAGACCTCTTCTTTCTCAGGCAGTGGTAGGCACACACCGTCGTTGTATTTGTCCTGACGTTCTTCTTTCCATCTTCTTGGCAGATCTTCTGGATTTGGCTCCTGATTAAAGCTGACAGATAATGGAAACATTTCCTTGGCGATGTCTCTGGGGCGACTCCTCCGACGTGCCTCTTCGAAAGCTTCCGACCTCCTGACCTTGAATTCTGGTGGTGGTGGCAGCTCATCTTCTGTGTTTGATGGGGAGATTATCTACTCAAAGAACAATGTCTGTGTGCACCCACCTGAGCTGCTGCAAGGCATCGGGGAGCATCATCCAGGTGACAGGGTGTCACAGACACTGCTCACTCCCTCTTTTTTAATCCCCTGGGGTGTGTGTTTGGATTAAAATCTACCTCCTGGGCTCTAAAGACTGAAGAGGTGCCGGGAGGGGACAGGGCAAGGCAGGGAAGACTAAGGAAAGCCATCACCAGCTGGTCCATCAGCTCTTTTTTGAGTAGGAAAATTGATGATATTTCTTTCTCTTCTGGTCTAGCATGGATTTACGTGTGTTAGGCAGTCCTTTAGTATTGCCAAAGATGGACAGTTGTCATTTGAGGACAGTGACTTCTGTCCAGCGAAGCCAAGGATCATCCTGTAACTGTCATTGCCAGAGTGGCCTCAACAACCAAAGGGAAAAGAAGGAAAACCTGATTGTGGCTGCCTGCGCTGCACTAAATGAAGACAAATACTGTCCTGTCCCTTTATCCTCATCTGTTCTTGCACTCTTTCATGTCTTCATCAAAGAGAGCCGTGGCTACTGGCTTAGCTTCACAAAACTAATTATTCTGTGAACATTGACCCACTTCCCTTTCTCTGTGTGTGACTTTTTTTATTCTATTGTCTTTCCATGAAAATTGTAGCCCTTTAGCTACACTAAGGTAAATATTCCTGAGTAAGAAATGTTTAGCTGGCGCTCGAAATCGTTTAACTAACAAACAGTAGAAGTTTTTCATGTGGCAATATATTTCAGAATTTACTCTCGATTAGTAATCTGTGCAGGAAGTTGAAGTACTTGCGTGTCATTTCTATGTCCACGTAGGCCAGAGGGAATTTAGACTATCCAACAGCCATATGCAGACTTGAAATTATTTGTTAGTACCGAATAATGTTGCACACTCTGCAGTTCATTTGGCAAAATTCTGTCCTGATAAATAAAAGGGTTTGTTTTGCCGGTGTGTAGCGGCGGGGAGAGGGGGCTGGCCAGATTTCAGGCTAGTGCAGCTTCCTTAGAATAAAGCTGGGTCGTAACTGATTGCCCCTTTGCTCTCCCAAAGGCTACTTGTGCTTGTACATGGAGAAGGATGAGCTGCTTGGGACCACGCTCATCCTTGCCTGGGTGCCCAACTCCCGCATTCAGCGGCAGGACGAGGAAGCCCTGCGCTACGTCACTCCCGAGAGCTCCCCGGTCCGTAAAGCTCCCCGCAAACGCGGGGTTTCGGTGTCGCCCGTCAGGCTTCCCCCACGGAGCAGAGAGGGGCGGTGGTCCTGAAAGGAGAAGACATCTTGACTGTGTCACAGCTCCTGAAAGATGAGGCTGACATCAGCTCCCCCTCCTCGGAAGGGGAGAAGCTCCCTCAGAGCTGCTTCATGGCCAACGATGCCCGCCGGTCCCCCCAGCCCGCCCGCAGCGACTCAGGAATCCTCTCAACAATCAGTTCTCAGGAGGAGCAGAACAGGTCGGAGCTATCAGTGGAGGGGACGGAGGAAGGCCTGGACTGCCGGCCGGAGCCAGGCGAGGACGAGGGCTCCTTGGAGCTGTCTGCCGACGACGTGAGCCGAGACAGCACTTTTGACTCCGATTCTGATGCCTTCTCTTCCCCCTTCTGCCTCTCTCCCATTAGCGAAGCCCTCGGGAAAAGCAGCAGTTCCGTGTTTCTGGAGAACCAGGGCAGGTGAGTGCACCCTTTTCTCCAGTTTCTGGGTGAGTAGCTGGGGTGCTGAACTTGGAGATGCTGATGGAAATTGAGAATCTTCACTGTGGCACTGAGCCAAATAGCCTGTCTGGCTTCAGACACCTGTATAATTTACAGAAAACTGTTCACTGGCTTGTCCTGCTTCTCTGCTCAGTGAATCCTGGCCCCAGGTGTTTGGGGCTGTGTATGTACAGTCTTTCAGGTGAAGTGTCTTGAGCCCTGGAAGCAGCATTACTAAATTAAAAACGTCCTTTGTTGGTGTAATTGGCTCTGCTGAGGAGATGTGCTCGTTACTTCTTGTGGAGAGCCACATCAAAGCATCTGTCTGACTTCCTCTGAGCTGGGGGTGCCTCTCCGTGAGCCACCGTGTTGACATGAAGGCTGCATGTATGAGCTTGTTTTGCTGATGTTCAGAACGCGGTCTCGCTTAAGTCATATAAATATTAATTCTTGCATGTCTAACCTGGTTTCAGTCAGTGCCGGTGTATCTCAGTGTCAATGCTTCTCAATGGCACCTGTGGAAGGAGGGTGCCTTGGCAAAGGAATGATGAGCAGTGGGATCCCTGATAACTCACTGTACTGATAGGCAGGGTTTCTGGGTTTCTGGCCCGCGCTCTGTGCGGTGTCACTCCTTTCCAGCTCGGGGAGGATGGGTGAGCTGAGTTCATGAAGCACCATGGGGCTGACTTCAAGGCTATAGCTCAGCTTTGAAGCTACGCCTGAAATTAGGAAAAACGAGTTCCCCTTTGTGTGTGTCAGCAACAGGCAGGCTACATTGTGACCCGACATCTGAAGACGTTTTGCCTCTTTATTTTACGGGCTGATCGCCAGCCCTGAGAATGCCAGTAAGGACAAGACTTACGAAGGAAATATTCTAATTGATTCAGCTCTCTCTGGATATTTTAAAACACTTGAGTGCGGTGATCTCAGACTTTGTATCAGCTTTGCATTTGATGTGTGCTCTAGCAATATGCTTCTAATTAACTGGAAGCCCACAGGGTTTTTTGGGCTGGAGCCCTGCAGCAGCTGGCTGGGCAGTGGTTTGAGC